AAGAACCATTGGAATTGAAAACTACGATCCCTATCTTAGAAGGCGCCCAGGAGTCAGAAAATGAACCAAAGAGGAAAACCAGGGAGGCCAGAAACAAAAAAACTACACGAACACACAGAAGACAAACGAATTGCAGAGGAGAAAAGAAAATTCGGAGGTACGAGGAGATACGAGGCCGACAAAAAAAGATCCATCTTTTTTCTGGCCCTAGGAGCGAAAGGAAAGAGAGTTTTTGCTCAAAAACATTCAAGGGTTAAAGTCCCAGCAATCTCCTTCAAAGACTTTTTCGACCTAATAGAAACAGTTTTTCTCAAACCCACAAACATTTCGTTCGAACGCTACAAACTGCTAAGCAGAAAACAGAAGGACAGGGAATCGTACGAACAATTTTGGGGGGCACTGTCTGGTTTAGCAAAATTATGTGAAATTGGAGTCAACGCCGAATAGGAGTGGTTAAGGATTGTATTTTCTTTTAACATGAAAAAATGTGACTTACAACAAAGATTACTCTCGTAAACACGTAATCCAGTGGACGCACTCAACCAAGCCATCATGGACGAGAAAGGTTACTACAACCACCTTAACTTAACAAATATGACAAGATAATCAATCGGCAATAGCGGCAGAGTGTACAAAAGTTTTAATACTGTAAAAAAAAGAACCAATTTTGAACAAAAAAAATCTAATACCTGTATGAAATGTGGGAACGCGTTTGCCAAGTATCATTTGATTGTGTGCGCAGCGAAGGATATAATTTGTAACAATTGTAAATATAAAGGACCTTTCGGAAGACTATGTAAATCGAAAGGAAGAAGGCCCTCTGTAAATAATGTAGAAGAAGTTGTAAATAATCAGAATTGTTCATACTCCCCAGAAGACCCATAAGCGAGAAATGATGAAATCTTTTGTGGAATGATTAATGCGTGGACAGAAGAGGGGATCAGTGACAACGACGATTATTCTGTTCTGAACATCAGAACCATCTACGATACCAACGGTGTGGAAATTAAGAAATTGGTTAGCATTGGATTGGGAGAAGACGCAATAGTGAACCTGAATATTCCAGTGGATTCGGCAAGCCCAGTAAGCTTCCTAAAGCAAAACGTCCTACACGAACTGAAATTGAGAAACCCACAATTGAAAATGCACCCAGTTGATAAGAAAATTTGCGAATTATTTTGCGGTTTTACGGATGACACAATTAACATCGTCGGAAAAAATACAGTTAGAATTCAATCCAATGGATGGATCTCGGAAGAAACTCCATTTTTTATTACCACGGGATACGAGAGGAATATTTTAGGAAACAATAACTTACCCAGAATTCGAATTGAATACCACAAAAGCAACCACTACTACCAGTCAACAACGTAACCCTACCAAAATCGTGTAAGTTAAACATTTATTCGGATACAATCCTATACTTGTACCATAAATTCAAAGGACTATTGAAAAGTGTAGTGAAAATACCATTAGACAGAAAGATCACTCAATTTCACACCCCATTCAAACACATTCAAACTAAAGGCAGAAGAGTTCCCCTCCGTTCACTAGAATGTGTAAAAGTGGAATTAAACAGAATGGAAAAAGAGGAATATATTGTGAAATTAAGCAAATGTGACGAAGACTGCTTTATAAGTCCAATAAAAATTACCAGAAAAAGGACGGTAGTATCAAGTTAGCCTTAGATTCGAAACTCCTAAACGACCAGATATTCTAGAACAAATATCAAATGCCAAACATACACTAGATCATCGACAAAATAGCTCTCCAACTTTCAAACAAAAACTCAGGGGAAGTCTGGTTTATTAACTTAGACCTAAAAATTGCGTATAGTCAACTACAATTATGCACTGACACGAGCAAACAATTAAACTTTAGTATCGTAGGCGGTGAAACCACCGGGACATATCGATTCCTAACGGGGTTCTACGGGCTAGGCGATATGCAAAACGAATTCCAAAGGGTGATGGATTCGCTATTAAAAGGTTTTCCATTTACCAACTGTTATATCGATGATACTTTAATAGCCTCAAAAGGACGTGAAGGAGGCAGTAGAAGAGGGCAGACTATTTGACAGATTTGGAGCGTACCTGAAGACCTTTCAACGGGACATTTACATAAAGGAAGGGTTGTTATTTAACGATAACAAGCTAATAGTGCCAGCAGCTCTAAGAATACGTTCATGTCGCTACACCACGAAAATCACAAGGACAGTTTGGTATGAAATCTCTAGCAGGAAACATTTGGTGGTCGCACTTAAATAGAAAGATTTATCACCACGGAAAAAACTGCATCCATTTTATAAAGGCGGGTAAGAATCTAAAATAATTTTGAGCACAAACAACACCGAGAAAATGTCAACGAAGAGTTAGGCCTAAATTTTGCAGGTCCATTGGACAAAAACTGGGCTAATTCAAAATATTTGTTTCTATGAAATGATCGCTTCTCAAAATTTCCGTCAGCTAAGGTAGTGAATAACACTTCAACCTCTTCCATTTTATCTTTTGTGTCGGATTACTGTCATCTACATGGATACCCGAAGTCTATCAGAGCCGACCATGGGTCATGTTTAACTTTTTACAATTTTAGAAACTTCTGCGAGAAAACAAAATTAATCTAATTTTATGTACAGTCAGGGATCACAGATCTAATGGGGTCGTAGAACGTCTCATTTACACAACTAGAGTAAAACTTTTGGCAATGTCGTTTAACGAACCTAAACCAACACTAAACTTGGCAATCGATAAAATCTTTTGGCATATTCGTTCAACGAAACAAACATCCATTGGATGTTCACTTTTTTCTAAGCTTTTTAATAGATCATCGAACTTATTTTGGAAATCACTGATCTCATACACCATTAATTTAGATAAAGGGAAGTCAATAATGTCAAGAGATATAGCTCAGGACTGGGGAATAAACGACATCATCGAGGACGGTTAATTTCAGAACGCAGTTGCAGACAAGAGGGGATACGAGAGCGACCCGACCGACAAGACAGACCAAGAGTTACAAGGAACACCGCTATCCAATCCACTCAGCCAAGGAAGTAATTGGTTTAGGAAGACGGTTAACAGAAGGTAAGGCGAACCGTACTTTAAACCTCTTGGTGGTAAAGCGCTATCAGACACTACACATACGGTTACTCTCAACGATGGGCTTTTAATCAGAAAATTGGACCTAGCATTTAAAAAAATCCAACCATTGGCTCATAGTAAATTTTTTTTAATTCAGAATTCGATAGTTAATAATTATGATTTAGCAGGAAAACGAAAGAGAAATTCCCCATCAAAGAGGAGGGACTCGAACGAAACTGGCCCATCGACAATGTATACGACAACGGGAGACAAGGCCACAAAAAGGAGGAGACCAAAAAGTACCAAGCTTCAAAGGTTCAAATTTTGCTTATTCGGAGCTAGATTCTTCGTTAGACTTAGAACATTGGGACTAAGTTATAGACGATTATTTGGGTACCGACTCGAAAATTGTATATAACTCTCAAACTATTAGTAGTGATAGTGCTTTAGATCAGTCAGGATGAGCACTAGCAAGTGAATCTACCAGCACATCACCAGCGGGCACAAGCGATAACCCCGCAAGGGTTGAGAGTTCACCGGAAAAGAATACAGAGGTCCCACCAGTAGAACCCCCAAATATCAGTGAACCCCGTCCCAGAAGAAATCCAGGCCTCCCAAAATTTTATGGAGACAGGCGATTCATCCTGCAGGTGTCATCAGCGGCGACCACAGAAATTGTAGATTCAGACGAGGAACCCCTGATAAACTTTTCAGGATCGAAAAGCCTTCAGATAACATTTTCATCAGATTCCCCTTCGGACTACTTGACACAACTAGAGAACCTACTTCCCCAACCAAAACTGGTGGCCGACACCAAACAAGGATCTACCTCAACTCCGTCCTCTATAACACCGAAGATCGCAGTTTTATCATCACCCTTGGTACAAGGCGGACTTGATATTCAAGACGATGAGGGGAGCGAAATAATATCCGTTATAGAAATAGAAGTGAGAAAGGAGGCGGACAGCTTTCACGACACTTTTAATGCCACCATTTAAAAGTTCAAAGCTTTCGTATTTAGTTAAACTCGCGATAGAGTTAATTTTACTATTGGTTACTCATTTCACTTTATTTATCAATTCTTAGTTTTAGCGATATTGTACATTAGTTCGTAGATGAACACATTTTATCTTAATTATCTGTGTAGTTTAGCCTGTTCAATCTGTTTATATGTCACATAACCCCGATTGTACATAACATTTCCTCAATTGTATAGTCGTTGTATATATCTGTTTCATCTTGTAGGTAGCCTGTAAATATTATCACATGGTTATCTCCATGTTAATTTGTATTATCTCTGTAAATTCCATTAGTGCTAAACGCTGATACTTTTTGTTTCAACTTTGGCCTTAGTGGGGTGAGGGGAGAATGGAGTATGTGTGTGATATTGGCTACACAGGGAAAGTGCAGATACATTTTTTTTCGTGCAGTGGAGAATTTTGTGATTAAGTACATTTGTATGTTTTAACCTTGACCTTAATTACGTACCAGTCAATGTTTACTCTTCGAAGTCCAGTGGACTTCGCGTCCCTAGTTGTTCTTTTAAGACATCGGTCAGTTTTAATTCATTACCTTATTTTAATTTTTTTAACCTAAATTAGCTAGATTAGATTACCAGTGGTATTTGCACACTTTTATTATATAATAAGGAAATAAGAAAGTGGCCATTTCTGTCTTCATTGTGAAAAACAGTTTTGCAAACTTAGAAATTCAAGTCAAAAAATGAATTAAACCAATCAAAATCAATGAGAACTGAATCGATCAAAATCGATTTCAGTGTTGTTCACAAAATGTCAGTAAAAAAAAAACAAACAAAATTAAAGCGACTCAATTGATGTAAATTGATTTGAAATGCCTTTGAAAAATGAATAAAAATTGAAGCTGCAAAACTAATATGACATCGATTAAAATCAATTAAACATTGATTCAAAACAGTTGACAATTGGTGCAATTCCATCGTATTTTTTCAACATCTTTTTATCTTTTACTCAAATTGATTTTAATCCAATTTTGCCAGTGTGATTTTAATCTTAAGAATATATGACCAGCATGTTTGCCAACCCACTAATTTCAAGCTTTGATAGTTTTCCGAAACATATTTGATGAGTGCGCAGAACTGTTCACTGTGATACTTCAGTATTTATACATAGTCTGTAGAATCCACTTTTTGTTTTCTCCGTCGACTCGAATGAAGACCGGTTCGAACTTCTGCTTGTCCTCGAAAAAAGAGGAAACAAAGCTTTCCGTCTGCTGAAATCTCTCAGTCGCCACTCCGTAAACACAAGAAACATTCATCTCGTCATCGTAGTCTACAGTGAACAGAGGTGATCCTGTCGATGCTTTTCGAGTAGAGCTCGGAACTAGACTTTGAACACACACTCCGTACGAACAGCTACAAAATAGTTAGATTGGTTTTAGTGCCCTTTCGTTTTCTGGGTGTTGAAGAAAATGACAGAACAATTTTTCACTATTAGAGTTATTCTGTTGGTCAAAACGTTGAAAATTAATGAAATTGTGAAAACAAGTCAATTTGCCAGCAAATAAATCTATTTGTGGTTTTGTTCAGGGGCGGATCTAAGATTTTCTCGAGGGGGCGGAATTTTAAAAAAATTTTATAAACTTTGACGACTTTTTTTTAGGCCGACCAAATTGATTTTCCGAGCTCTCCTAAAGCACTAAATAGTCCCTGTTTTGGCCATATTTTGCAAAACAGATTAAAAAAAACAGGTCAAAAAAGCTGTTTTTGGGCACTTTTTGGAAAACTTTGACATAAAAATTGCGTTCCCCCTCAAGTTTAATATAAATTGGCGTCAAAGGCGCCTTTAGAAAAATTTTGGGGTCGGTCGGCCATTGGATTTCTTAAAAATAGATTTCTTAAGAAGTACCAAAGGGGGGAATCTTTGGGTCAGCAGGGGGTCGAATCCCTGAGATGGAGGTGGAGCGTCCGCCACCCGCCCCCCCCCCCCCAAATCCGCCCCTGGTTTTGCTTATATGCACCATATAAGGCAATTAACTTTTCCGAACACACTTTTTTCCAAAACTATGAATGTTTACATGGCCACAAAAAATTGTTGAGTCGTTGCTAGGATAAGGATAGCTCAATTTTAGACGGAGATGAGGGGCATCTCCACCGCTTCATTTTGGAGAAAAGTTTTAGGTTCATTTTTCTCAAGTAATTTTGAAAGCAATTTAGATCAAGAAAAGAGGTTATAAATTTCACTATTCGTCTTCGTCTCACTAATATAAAATGAAATAAGACATTACACTAGATCTACACGGGTCGAGGTGCTCACCTTATGTTTTGACTTTCGAAGTCAAAACATAAACGAAAAAGGAAAAATTGAGACAGGGGTTTCAGTCGAGCACAAATTCCAAACATAACTCGAGCACGATCGAGCATAGTCAAAACAAACCGCGAGCACGGTCGAACCAAACCAAGAGCACGAAGAAAACATAGATCATCCCGCAGTTATTCGGAGTCAAAAAGAAAAACTTCCTCCAAAAATCAAAAACTTCCTCCAAAATCAAGTTTTTTAATCATTTTCGACTTAAGATGAAAACCAGTATTCCAACAGATGAAAAAAAATTAAAATTAAAAAAATCAAAAATTCCGTTTTGTATTTGCAAATATTTCTAAACCTAATACCCGAAAAGCATGAAAAATATCTTATGGATTTCTTAAGAAGTACCAAAGGGGGGAATCTTTGGGTCAGCAGGGGGTCGAATCCCTGAGATGGAGGTGGAGCGTCCGCCACCCCCCCCCCCTAAATCCGCCCCTGGTTTTGCTTATATGCACCATATAAGGCAATTAACTTTTCCGAACACATTTTTTTCCAAAACTATGAATGTTTACATGGCCACAAAAAATTGTTGAGTCGTTGCTAGGATAAGGATAGCTCAATTTTAGACGCAGATGAGGGGCATCTCCACCGCTTCATTTTGGAGAAAAGTTTTAGGTTCATTTTTCTCAAGTAATTTTTAAACGACGAACCCGAAAACCTTCACAGGCATTCAATGAGCCAATACTTACTCATACTGAGAGTAGATAGCTCAAATATTCACAATTTGCTTTTTTTCTCAAAGTTTGCCAACTGTGCAAAAATTCTCTTTTGCAAGTTAGTCATTCTAGGATTTCGGTAGAGATGGACGAAAAAATTTGACCTAAGATCAACGAAATGCTTTTGAAAAGTACTCTTTCTCATCAGAACTTCCATGTGCACTACATTGCCTGCGCTGAAATGCTAAGGTACATCCTAGTTTGGGGATGAGCTACAAAGGTTCTCGCCTATTGTTTTCCTCCCAGAAATAATTTTCCACCAGTCTCGCGCCAGAAAATCGATCGGCCACGTAAGAAGCAGGAGTATGACCCAGACCACAAGTTGCCAGAAGATTTTTTCTGGCTTCAACTGATTGTGATCCACATAGAGGAAGCGAACGTTGAAAAGGTATATGCCGAAGCAATTTGATTAGGGCCAGTCTGGGCTCTGGATCTGGTCGAAAGTCCGATTCATCTTCGATTCTGTAAGCAAATTTGTTGTTACGTAAAAGTTATTCAATTAAAATTAATTGAGATGCTTAAGGAAAACACCTATTGCAGTAGTGTATAGATTGAAACGGGTTTTCGTGGAACTCATTTGAGAGCATCGCAAATCTGAATCAGGTTTGGGCCGTAAGGTTTTGAAAGCAATTTAGATCAAGAAAAGAGGTTATAAATTTCACTATTCGTCTTCGTCTCACTAATATAAAATGAAATAAGACATTACACTAGATCTACACGGGTCGAGGTGCTCACCTTATGTTTTGACTTTCGAAGTCGAAACATAAACGTAAAAGGAAAAATTGAGACAGGGGTTTCAGTCGAGCACAAATTCCAAATATAACTCGAGCACGATCGAGCACAGTCAAAACATACCGCGAGCACGGTCGAACCAAACCAAGAGCACGAAGAAAACATAGATCATCCCGCAGTTATTCGGAGTCAAAAAGAAAAACTTCCTCCAAAAATCAACTTTTTCAAGTTTTTTTAATCATTTTCGACTTAAGATGAAAACCAGTATTCCAACAGATGAAAAAAAAAATTAAAATTAAAAAAATCAAAAATTCGGTTTTGTATTTGCAAATATTTCTAATCCTAATACCCGAAAAGCATGAAAAATAACGTTCAATTTTGTATAACTCATGTTGTTTCAAACTCGAAGCATATCCACATTCTGTCGAGCATATATATAAATACATTGATATAGATATATTCTCCTAAACTTATTCAAACACTTTTTGAACATCAAGATTTTCATTTCTTAAGAAACTCTAGCACTCGCAAAACACCCAGCCGCGTTCAGTTGGTTGCAATGTTTTATAGGTTCTCGTAAGCTTTTTTTTCTACAGAAGATTAATCATTGCAGCAGCTAGCTATTTTTTCTGATTTTTCAAAAAATACGTTTGCTGTCGTTGGAGTAGTGTAACAAACTCAAGATATGGCGGCAGAACTGAAGTCGTTAAAGCAAATTAAAACAAGACTGCTCGTATCAGTGCGAAGCCCTGAAAATTCCGACTGCCTTATAAGGTTGTATGGAGCAGTAAAAACATTAAAAATTAAAGGTAATAAAATAAAATGAATTTCTTTTTCTTCTAAATTTTGAAATTTTTTTCATGAAAATCATCCCCCCCCCATGAAAACCATTTAAAGTACAAAAAGAAAGATTTAGTTCTTTGCAACAAATCCATTATAGCAAGTAAGCTTCTGTCAACCATTTTGAAACGATTTAAAGACGGATTAACTCTCCACTTACGCGTTAATAGCGCGAAATATATCGCGCGGTAATTGACCCAAATTGGCCAAAATGGCAATCTTTAAACCCCGATAACTTTACGAAAAATATTCACAGAAGAAATATCTTTTCAAATTTGAGCTTAAGACAACATCAACTTTTCAGTGCTATGAAAATTTCTGTCAAAATGGCCAGTTAAAAAATCGAAATTTGTCTGAAGAAAAAAAAACCCAGCCCGAGCACAAATATTAGTTACTTTCGTATCGAAAGTCGGAACAAAAAGAGTATTATAGCAGAAAATAATGGAAATATTTTGCAATGCTCGTTTCTAAGCAGAAAAAATGGTAAAAACAGGAAAATGAAGAGTACAAAATGAAAATCAAATGAAAGAAAGGGAAATAGACAAAAATGGAAACACAAAATAACAGAAACGAAAAAAAGAAAAGAAATAAAAAAAAATGTTAATGCCATCATTTGTTCATTAAAACAATCAGCTTAATCCCGTTATTGGCCATCAAACTCTAATCTTTTATGAGGTCTAATCAAAATCAACGTTCTGAAAGATTACTAGAACCGATTAGAAAACTATTTCAAGAAAACTATCTTAGATGGATATAATATTTAAATAAAACATTCACAACAAAAAATTTTGCAGAAATAATACAAAAATCGCCCGAGAGGTAGTAGTTACACAAAATAAGGAGACTGCTTCTCAATGGATTTATTGGGTTTCTCATATTATGGAAAAGAAAACAATGAGGGATATAGATTTGTTTTAACTTCAGTTGATGATTTTTCTAAAATTGCTTGAGGTATTTGACTCAAAAACAAACCGCAAAAACTGTTCCAGTCTCAAAAACAAACTGACTCAAAAAAAACTGAAAAAAACTGTACAGCCTCCGCAGAAGTAATATAATCAACTAAAAAACCCAAAAGGCTTCAGGACGGACAAAGGCAGAAAACGTACTAACAAAGGCTTATTCATTTTTCGCGTTGAGAAACAATGAAAAACATTAAATATAAATTAACTTAATAGCAAAAAAACTTCAGGAAATATATATTGTTCCGACTTTCGATGCGAAAGTAACGGAATATTTGTGCTTGGGGTGGTTTTTTTTTCTTCAGACAAATTTCGACTTTTTACCTAGCCATTTTTGACCGAATGTTTTTTTATCATTCGAAAGGTATTGTTGTCTTGAGCTCAAATTGGAAAAATATACTTTACCTGGGATAATTTTTTTGTAAAGTTATGGGGGTTTAAAATTTACCATTTTGGCCAATTTAGGACAATTACATATACATATATATATATATATTTCGCGCTATTTACGCGTAAGCGGAGAGGTAATCCGTATTAGAAATCGTCCCAAATTGGTTGATAGAAGCTTGTTTACCATAATTGATTTGTTATGAGGAGCGAAATCTATCCTTTTGTACTTTATATAGTGTGTGGGGGGATGTTTTTTTTTAAATTCAAATTTGAAAAATAAAAAAAATTTCATTTTGTTTTGTTACATTTAACTTTTTAATGTTATTACTGCTCCATAAACCTTAAAAGGCAGTCGGAACATTCAAGGCTTCGCCCCGATACGAGCCGTCTTGTTTAAATCTTAATTTTCCTTGATATAAACGCTAAAGTTAAACGTGTTTCAACAGTATCAGTCTATATCAGTCGTTAACTTGGAACAACTGAGATGTCGCCTATTGAAGAATCTGAATAAGAAAACATAGCCTCTATTTATCATTCATTGATCAAGTCAGACTTTAAATATTAGAGAAACCTTTCAAAGTTAATGATTATTAAGAACTTCTGATAAAATAACTAATTTTAGTAAGATGGATACACATACTAGAAGCTATGTGTTTTTTGAAATGTTAAAATCTGTTGGTGATAAACCGGAAAAATTAATTCTTAATCGAAAATGGGGAAATTGAGAAGATTTTAGGAATCAGTTGGCATTAATATTGATTCATGCTGGAACTTTTGAAGTCTTTTCTTGTTTTTGAGAGAAACAGAATAAATATCGTCAATGAATGGCTTTATTCAAAGGCCGATTTTTATTTCATGTATTCTTTTTTCTTTATAAATGGAGGACGCGTACAAACATTGTAGTTTTTGTAAAAATTGCATTGTTGGCGCTCATAGAACAGCAATGGCTTTGTATCTAAAATCTAATAAATACCTGAAATTGACGAAAAAATTTAAAACAAAACATGATTACTATACTGAAAACAAAAAATGGTAAAAATTGAAACAATTGTGGTGAAAAATTAACAGTTAAGTTTTTATTTTCCGTAAAAATTGTTCCTAAAAATGAGCAGGTAATTTTTTGACGCCAAGCGGGAAAAAACAGAATCGTAGAAACAATCAGAGAGAATGAAATCAAAAGTTGCAGCAGGAGCAAGTTTAAATTTGGATTGGGAAATTTTCATCTAGCGGGTAAAAGACGAAATGATTGAAGATAAAGTTTGTAAAAATGTTGATGCAAAAAAACACACTTTATACAATTTTTCTTCGTGAGAACAAGTAACAAAAAAACGTGAAGTTGCTCATGAAAATATGCTAGCAAATTCAAATACCAGAGACAGAAAAAAAGCTAGCAATTTCAAACACCAGGCACATTGAAATTAAAAAGCAAAAAAGTAAAATTAAATTTAAAAAATGCTGAAAAAAAAGCGAAAAAATGTGAAGTTTGTTCAAGAAGTTAATTTAAGTTTATTTTCAAAACATCCGAAGATCAGTTTGAAAACTTATCTGAAGACGAGCGTATTGTGGGAAAAAACATTCGAATCCTTTTAGGGAAAATTGAGGGAAAAAACATTCAAAT